AAAATCTTAATTAAAGATCAGCATATTTAAAGGCAATTTTATCACTTGTTATTGTGTGCATCGGGTCCAATCGCAATCAAGCATTAATTTTCACTGGGTAATGGGGGCGAAAATGATATTCAAAAGCATATGAAAATTGTAAAACACAAAAAGAACATTTAAAATTTAGCAAACACAAATGCACTTTAAAAAATGTTTAATTGAACGGGAGATGACGCAAAAAAGGTAATTGCTGAGTGTAGCTTTATTTTTGGCAGAACAACACTCACAAATGTTTTGGGACCCCATAGCAAAAAAATATTTCTAAACACCATCCAATTTCGCTTCAAATAAAGGCAACATAAAAACCTTTCCGTCGATGCTTAAATATTTTGATAAAAACTAAATTATTAAAATTCTTCTAATCTTATTCTGAACAGTCCCATGATATTGCTTAGTGTTTAGTAATTTAAATAATTACTTTGAAGTTGCTTCACAATTTAATATTTCTGTTGATAAAGACATTTTATTTGAGGAGTTTGTCCAACTACCTACTTTTGTTAAAATTTTGAACAACACGGAAGATGTCGATGAAATGTAATGTAACAATTTTTAGTTTGATGAGAACAGTTTGAAAAAAAAATGGGTTAAGCTTAAACACATTAATGTGTTTAAGCTTAACCCATTTTTTTTCTAATTAAACACATTAATGTGTTTAAGCTTAACCCATTTTTTTCTAATTAGAAGCTGAATAATTCAATTCAATTATTGATGATCAAAACTAATAATAAAAAGACATCTAAAGAATTTGTTAATTTTTTAAAAAGCAATTGCTTTAATGGAAAAGAAATTATTGAAAAAGTTCCATCATGTGAAAAATACATTTAAATATTTAGATTATATATATTATAATAATAAAATAATTATTTATATTTATATTTTTTTATAATTATATAATTAAAAAATTATATAGGTATGTTTTGAATTTTTTTTCAAGGCAATTTTGAAATTTTCGAAACTAAAACATTTTTTTAACAGAGATTTGGGTGTCCCGCTTTTTCATTTGCAAAATCTGGTAACCCTGACTTCAGCCCGTGACTAAACCGCCATAAAGCCACAACTTTTCAATGTGTATTTAAAAGGTCACTTAGTGCCATGGAAACATGTACGATAATGGACGTTTTAAAGGTGGGAGTAGAAAATAGTATATTATGTAGTTTTATAAACGCCATTTTAGTTACGAGTTTTATTAGGCACGAGCGAAGCTTGCGAGCGAGTGTTTAATAAAAACGAGTGTCTAGAACACTTTTTTGCAATTTATAATAAAGCTAACTTCAGCCCGTGACTAAAATGCCCAAAAGCCACTGTTATTAACTTCAGCCCGTGACTAAAATGCCATAAAGTCACAACTCGTCAATGTAGGAGTAGATAAAATACATTTGCGTTTGCGCTGTAAAAGGTAGGTTATGTATCTGTCAGTCTCTTAGAATAAAAAGTTTTTTTTCTGTATGAAACAACGTTTAAAACGATTAATAATCTGTATAAACAGAAGAAACTCAGTGTTGCAGTGATTTTTAGTATGTGGCATACTATGTGCGAAACGAACAGACCTTGTTGTGTGGATTGTGATATAGAGCATACCTATTATAGGTAATTATAATAATAGGTAAATATTCAATAATCTTTCTAATTAAAAAGTTTATTAAATTAGTACATATATCTTATTTTTTAAATAATATTTACAAAGAACATTGGTAATTGCACAAATTGCTACAAATTAATATGAATGACATAAAAAACTAATAGGTATACTTAATAACTAAAAAGTTTTCGTTTGGCCCCGAATGACCCGGTATAATAATTATCGTTGTAATGCTTATTAATTGGACGGCTTTCTGCAGAATGGGACCAACCCACACCATGATGAAACTGAGAAAAAAGCTATTAAAGATTTTAATAATTTTAAAATAACCTGTTAATTTTATGCCGATTTTGGACTTACGGAGGTTTAAGGGATATAATTTAATAATTTCATCAGGTGGATTTTGTGATGTTATGTGTAAGGGTGACGAAAAAAATGGGCTTTTGTTGGTTGGTTCCTTTCTGCAATTTATGAAAACTACTATCTGATGTATGTATGTATTTGAAGAAAAGCGACAATTATTTAATTCCAAACAAAATACAACTGATATTACTATTATAATGGTAATATGAATTAATTTTGATTCTATTTGAAATTCGTCCACATCATCTTCCAACCCCACCTCATCTTGTAAGCTACCAAAAAAATGCATCAAGACTTTATATTTTGCAGAAGCAGGAAATCTTTAAAGACTTTGGTAGTGGGTCTACCAGCCTGCTTTTTTACAAAAAAGATCCAACCCACTTGTAGATATTCTACAGATTCTAATTCTGGATTACTAATCCACACTATTATTGAATGTTGGTTGGTTCAATGATTAATACATTTCACTACACTTGCATTTTGGCTATGACCTATTTTGCAGATAAATTATACATACTTAATTAGTTCATAGGCTAAATATCTCGATTTTTTTGGTTTTGTGGTTTGGTTCCTTTCTGCAGAAAGGCGTCCAATTATCTTATAACTATAGTATAGTTATAGCGTATATAGAGGCTTATAATAATAAGGCTTAAGCCTCTATATACGCTATGACATGGGCTGTGCACATCTTGCTTGTGAATAAATGGGGTAGATTTTTAAACAGAAACCAGACTATACTTATACAGGTTCTCCCAGAAAATAATAATTTAAGTTAACTTCGTTTGAAAATAAATTATTATTTTCCATAATTAGTTTCCAAGTTACAGGGTGTTAAAAATTTCAATATTAAAAAGGCTTACCAAATTAAAAAATAAGCAAACTTTAATTTTTATATATTCTAGTGTTCAAAAATTTTAACACCCTGTAACTTGAAAACGAATACCCGTACCTGTGTATCCCATTTACTTTAACAATTTTAGCTAAATAACGCAATATTTACACACTTTACAACTGTATACAGTGCTTGCAAATCCAAGTCCGACCACACTGGAAAGGACGGCTGTTCAATACCCGCGTGAAAAGAACAAGGATAGAACGCCAAATAGAATTTGATTGGCCAGCCGGCAGGCTACGACAACGCATACCCATCGCGCACCTCGCAGCGTGCTTGACACGAGGATATCAGAACGAGAACTGCAGTGGTGCCAGCAAGAGCCTCTTGCCAAGAGGTAGTAATTTTAGTAAAAAAGATTATTTAATTAAAAAATGTAGGTACACGTTGGAACAAAAAGTTCAGATTTTAATCTGGCATTTTGCTGGTAATTCTGAACGAGAAATTCAAAGATTATTTGCGGGAATGTTCGAGGCCAGACCAAACAGAGAAACAATTCGACGAACCGTTAATAATTGCTTGTTCGAACATTTAATTTAATTTTTCAGTTTATTTATTTTTAGAGTTTTATTAGACCAGGGTCGATAATTTTTGAAACCAAAAAAAATAAAAGTAGGATGAAACCCATTGGAAAAGGAGAAGAATATAATAAAAATAAAAGGAAAAATAAATTACTGGCGATCTGACTTTGGGAAGTGGGAGGGGGGGTTTTAAGGGTAAAAAATGGTTTATCTCGATTTCCGGCAAAACTACAAGTCCTATGGAAAAAAGTTAAATGGCAAAGTTGTAGGTAATAAAAGGATCTACAACTTTTGTAATTACAATTTTTTTACATAACCTCCAAATTTATGGGAAAAATTCAAAAAACCAAGTTTTTGGTTTTTTATTTTTATCTTTTTCAAAAAAAAATTTTTTTCCACGAAATTTGGTGAAAACTTACCTTTTTATGTCCCAAATACACTGTAATTTATTTGATTTGAAATATTTATTATTTCGCCTTATTTTGACTTAATATCAAAAAAGCACCCTAATTTTCAATCGAAAATTCTCGCGTCAAAATATCAGCTTTTTTCAAAAAGTCGGTGTGCTTTTTGTTTGTTGAAATCTCTACTTTCTGATGGTGTAAAAAAATATACATTACTATGGTAAATGTTCTCAGAAAATGCAAAAAATATTATAATGAATAACGAAAAAAACTCGAATTCGAAAATTTATTTTAATCATTATGTACAATTTCATCAAAAAAATGTGATTGTTGCAATTTTTTTTAGTTAAAAAGTTTATTTATTAAATTCTAATAACATTTATGTCAGAAAATCTCATAAAATATAAAAATACATGTAAATCATACTATTGAATTTAGATACTTCATTCTGATTCTGATTCTACAACTTTTTTCCATAGGACTTAGTAGTAGTTTATAGTAGTTTTGCCGGAAATCGAGATAAACCATTTTTTACCCTTAAACCCCCCCCCTCCCACTTCCCGAACTCAGATCGCCCGTAATTAATTTTTCCTTTAATTTTTATTATATTCCCCTCCTTTTCCAATGGGTTTCATCCTACTGTTATTTTTTTTCTCTTTTTACCATTTTTAAAGGCTTCTGCACTGGTCTATATTTTTATTTGGAGTTTTATTTTTATTTTTAGTTATTTTTATTTGAGAAATCTTTTTTATTAAGAATACTATTTTTGTTGTTGCCCTAGTTCTCAAGGAAAAAAATCAAAACATTTTATTTTTAGGATTCAGGTATAAAATATTTAAAAAGAAAATTAAAATGTGCATCTCCACTCTAACGCAGTTTGCTTAACACTAAATCATTTAGTCTAAATGCAGCCAGAGACTCTGGCCCAGAGTTGACCTCGCTTACAATTCGCACGCATCCGGGGCTCTGGCCAATCAAATTCTATTTGGCGTTCTATCCTTGTTCTTTTCACGCGGGTATTGAACAGCCGTCCTTTCCAGTGCGGTCGGACTTGCATTTGCAAGCACTGTACAGTTATATCTAGTGACTTAATGATGCAGGAATTATACTGCCACATTCTAGTTGAAGTCGTCTTCATCCTCCAGTATTAGAGGCTGTATTCTGTTACTCTTAAAATAATTTTTGATCTTGAACTTGAATCATAACTCCGTAGTTTCCATTTTACGTGGAGGTGGGACGGGAGGTAGGGTTTGATATAAATTTTGATTTCTGGATTCATTTGGAGGAATGTTTTCCGTATTTTCCTCGCACTCTACTACGTTTTCGTCCAGGGAGTCGTGTTCCGAGTTTTGGCTTAAAAAATGCATGAATTATAAAATATTTAAAAATATTATTTTTACCTTATAGCATCAACATTCTTATACCATTCTTGAGCGTAAGCTCTCAACCATATGGGGTTGCTACCTTCCATGCTGTGTTTGTTGGTGTTGGGGACCCGCCCACTTATAATACTCAGGCCGCGACCATCTATATCCGAATCTGCTCTTACTAAAAAATCGATTTCGTAATATACATATTGGGTTGGTTTATTTAAAACGACTATTTTTTGTTTTTCACCGAAACTATTTTTCAAAACATCGAAAAAAATGTTTGTAAGTACTTCCTTTTTTAAAAAGCTTGTATTTTCAAACACTTTTTTTTTAAATTTTTATATCTTTGCCGGGTTTTAAGCTATCATATTGAGGTTCATTGTTACTTACAGAGTATTTAACGCTTTTTAAAAGAGCCTTTAAGAATTGTTCTCTAACTTGATTTACCTTAAGGTAATATTAATTAATGCAGCTCTGAAAGTAATTTTTTAAAAAATTTTTACATATTTTTGAAAATATTAAAAGAATGGCTTGTCTTGCCGAAAAAGTTGTAGAAAATGTAATTCTCTACAAAAAAAGAACTTATATCGCTAAAGTGCACAGTTTACTAGATATGAGCAGTTTAATATTTTAAAATTTGAAAAATTTGTGTTTTCTTGATATTAATTTGTCTAAAATTTGATTCTATGACTATGTATTGTAAACTGTATTGTAAACTGTGTCATGTAAACCATGAGGAACACATTTATACCTCACACTGATCTTACACTTATTTATATATTTTTTATTTTAATGTAAACACAGCCCTGCTCAACTCATACCATTTTATTGCACAAGTTTTGTATGATCCTAGAAATACTAAAGTTTGATTTTTTTCTTTTTATCAGGTTTTGAGATAATTATTTTTTTTTCAAAAAATTTGGCAGATGGATGGTCTTACTAATATGTCTGTATTACCACTAATTGTAATGTTAAAAAGTTAATTTTTGGTGTACGAAAGCCATTAATGGTGTTTACAAATTTTATACAGGGTGTCTGGTATTTACGTTGACTTTTTTGTCACTTTAAATACCAATAACTTTCTTATTCCAAACGAAACTTTTCTAAAGGTGTCTTGCGACGTATCAGTGCACATATCGATATAAACATAAAAACTTTTTATGTAGAGAATTAAATTTTCTATAACTTTTTCCTTTAAAATCAAGCCATTCTCTTAATATTTACAAAAATATGTGAAAAAAGTAAAAAGACTTTCAGAGCTGATACTATCAAGGTGAATGAAGTTAGAAAAAAATTCTTATAGGCTCATTTAAAAAGCGTTATGCGGTGCTGAAATCTGTGATAAATCAAAAATGCTGGTTTTGATATCTGATTACTGGTTGTGCGTGTACTAGTGATTTAAAAAAAAACAAAGAACCCAAAATAAGTGCCTTAAATCGTTATTTAACATAAACAAATACTTTCCTAGTAATAAACTGTACAAAACATTAAGTATTAATAATTTAGAAAGACTAATGACTTTAGAACTTTTAAAGTTAACTTTTAGAATAAAATATAAAAAACAAAAAACCAAAATAGATCTGCAAAGAAACAATCAACTTCATCAACATTTAACAAGACAAAACAATGATAGGTACCTATACATCGGACTCAATATTTATCAACCAGTGGAAATTATAGTGAAATAAATAACGGTACCATTAAATAAACTACCTTTGGAAATTAAAAATATTCTAAACTATATCCTATTTAAAAGAAAGATACAAGAATATCTTAAGTACTAAATGTTTTATTTGAATCTTGTTTTGGGATGTAAACAATTATTAAGCCATATTTATTTATTTATTTCAAATTAGTTAGGGTGTTAGGTTAGAATACGGCAATATGCTACCAAAAAATGTGATATTTATTTAATTTTGTTATATTTTATTACTCAAAAAACTGTATTTATGTTGGGTATTATACCTACATTTATATATTTTATTTAATTATTACTTAATAAGTAATACTTATTATTATTATTAAATACTCTGTAAGTAACAATAAACCACAATATGATAGCTTAAAACCCGGCAAAGGTATATATAGAAATTTAAAGAAAAGTGATTGAAAATATAGGCTTTTTAAATGGGAAAAACTCAAAATGAAAAAGGAAGTACTTATAATCAAATTTAAAGGATCAAACTTTAAGGGGATTTTTTTTGTGATGTTTTAACAATACTAACATATGAGGAGGTCCATTCCAAAACTCGGCTTATTCACTTTTTAATAAAAATAAGTTAGTGGTGTCTGTACATTTAACATGTATCCCCCTATACTCTGCAAAGTTAATAATATTCTAAAACTAACCTTTTTCATTTAAAACTCATTTACAAATTGACTATCGTTCCAAAACATCTATTGGTTATATCATGCAGAACTCGGCATATACGTATGTAATTTTAAATTATTTTAAACTGGAGAGTTAAAAAAAGAAATAAATTTCAAATTTGTGTGGTTTAATAAAAATAAAATTCTAATGAGAAAAGATGAAACAAGTAAAATCGAAGAAATCGACAACGAAGAAAAACTAGAGAGATTAAAAGAAAAAAACCACTAATGACAAATAACAAGGTCTTTAAAATATTATACTTAAATATAAGATCAATAAAAAACAAAACAAATGAAATAAAAATAATGTTAAAAGAACAAAAGCCAAACATATTAATACTCACAGAAACACACTTAAAGGAGAATGAAATAAAATATTTCAATATTCAAAACTATAATAGTGCATTTAGTTGCAGAAACAGTAAAGGAGGTGGCGTAGCAATCTATACACAAAACACATTAAACACAACAATGATAGAAAAAACAAATCATCTAAATAAAAACAACATTCTTGGAATCAAAATAAACAAAATAAACATAATATTGTATGCAATCTATAGACAACCTAAGAAAAGAGATAGGGAGCAATTTATGGAATATATAGACAATAATATATTAAAGGATAAACAAAAAACAATAATAATGGGTGATTTAAACATAAACATACTGGAACCAGACCAAACAACAAATGAATATATCAATTTATTAAAGGAAAAAAACTACAAAATCATTAATAAAATAAATAAAAAACACTGTACCAGATTAAACAAAATTACTGGAAGGCACTCTATAATAGATCACATAATAACAAACACTGATCTTGAAAATAAGGAAATTATACTCAAAGATACACCACTAAGTGATCATAAAAAAATAGAATTGAACTTTAAAATAAGAGAAGAAAAGAAACAAAATAAATACTACACAAACAAGAAAACGAACTTAATAAAATTAAAAGATGAACTAAAAAGAGTAATTAACGTGAACACCATTACAACTTTTAAAGACCTACAGGACATAATAACAAAAGAAACAAACAAACACACAGTTGAAATAAAGAAAAAATATGTACAATCGTTTCATGAAGGCTGGATGACCAAAGAAGTTTTCAGGAGCAAGAAAAAAAGAGACACAGCATACAAAAAAATGATAAAAAACAAAGAAAGTCAACAGCTTAAACTAAACTATGAACACAAACAGATCATGTTTAAAAAACTAATAAAAAAAAGCAAAAAAATGTTCTATGCAGAACAAATCAATAAAGGTGAAGGTAATAGCAAAAAAATATGGAAAATACTAAATGCTATCCAAAAAGGAACAAATGAAATTAAAAAAAATTAAATAAAAGAAATTAAAGACAAAAAAAAAACAGTAAAAAATAAAAAAGATATAGTGGAAATACTAAATAAATATTGTACAGAAATAGGAAAAAATTTAGCAAGCAAAGTAAATGGGCCAAAAATTGAAAACAATAGAAGCTCTTTTATATATACGCCCAACAAACAACACTGAGGTGAAAAAAGCAATACAAAAACTAAAGAAAAATGCATCACCCGGATATGACGGAATAAAACCATCACTTATAAAAAAAATAGCTGAAATCATAACGCCGACCTTAGTCAAACTCATCAATGATCATATAAAAAAGGGAGAGTTTCCGGATGAATTAAAAATAGCCAGATTAACACCTATACACAAGGAAGGGAGTACAAAGGATCCAAATAACTATAGATTCATCTCAAATCTAACAGTCAAAACGTAAAATTGCTATCCCAATCCCAACATGGATTTCAGTCAAAAAAAAGCACAACCACAGCGATGTTACATTTGTTACATTATATACGGAGAAAACTAGATGAGGGAAAGACAATAACTGGGCTAATAATGGACTATCGAAAAGCATTCGACACTGTAGACATAGACATACTCATAGAAAAACTTAAACATATAGGAGTGGAAAATAAAGAGCTAAAACTTTTTACAAATTACTTAAAAGACAGAAAACAACACACAACCAATGGTGAAAGTACAAGTACAAATCTAAAAGTACTTTGTGGAGTACCACAAGGGTCAATACTGGGGCCTTTTCTTTACCTCATATATATAAACGACCTAACCTTGCATAAATTAAATGGGAAACACATGATCTATGCTGATGACTTAGCAATGTTCTACGAGGGAGAAGATCAAGAAGTACAAGACAAAATAACAGAAGACATAAAAACAATACAAAAATGGACAAACGCAAACAAACTGACAATTAATGAAAAGAAATGCTACCTCATACATATAGAAAATAGAGTGAAAGAACACAACATCAACCTTGAAATAAATGGAACTATATTAGATAAAGTGGAGGAAATCAAATACCTAGGACTAATACTGGACAAAAAACTCACATGGACAGCCCACATTAATAAATTAAAAAGGGAAATTTCGTCAAAAATAAACATGGCATATAGAGTCAAAGATTACATAACAGTAAAACATAAAAAAATGCTATACGACGCATATGTGCAAAGCAATTTAACATATATGATACCTTTTTGGGGAACAGCTAATAAAAAAGAAATAAATAAATTAAAAAGAGCACAAAACAAAATCATTAAGGTCCTATATTATATTAAAAAAGATACAGCAACTAAAGAAGTATATAAAAGAACAAAGCATTTAAATATTAATGAATTACAACAACTGGAAACATTAAAAATAATACATAAGATCAACAAAAAAGAAATTGTGGACAGTGACATAAAATTAACCAAACAAAAAGAAATACATAAATACAATACTAGAGCAGAGATAAAATAAGAATAGATAGAGCCAAAACAAAAAGTAGTCAAAAGCAACTGATGAATGAGGGAATAAAAAAATACAATGAGCTGCCGGCGAAATTAAAGGAACAAAACACCAAAGATTTCAAAAAAGCGATTAAAGAATATATAATTAATTTAAGAGACTGAATAGGTTAAGTGTTATTTATTTATAGATTATTTATTTATATATATATACAAATACTTATATGTACATTTTTATATTAATTATCTGTTGTGGCCCATGAGGGCACATTGAGATGTATTTTTTCTAAATAAAAATAAAAAAAAAAGCTATACCTTTTTAATCAAGGTATATAAATGTTTTACTTATGCCTTTATATTTCGTTTAAAGTATTGTGTTTGCCTGATATGCGTTAGTACTCACGTGTAAGGTTTTTGACATTTTGCTCGAAAACAACTAATATGGATAAGCCCAGTTTTGGAATGCACCTCCTCATATATAAAACATGTATAATGTTTTTTTACTTTTGACAAACATACCATAAGCAGTGGCAGTGGCAGCTTTCAATTTTCTATGGTATATTTGCCTCTGGTTTATGCATAAAGATAGACATAATACAAGGAGCAGTAGGAGAAATAGAGATGAAGCTGTCAACCAAAAGGTTGCACTCTGAGACGTCTGAATAACTTTTAATGCCATGCTGCCACCTGGTTGAGTATCCAAAACGTTAAACTCCTTGAATAGTTCATCCAGTTTCTCGGTGTTCTGATCCACCAACTTCAACACGTCCTCCACTTCCAAAATCGAATTGTCATTTTTATTAACCAAGTGCAAATAGAGGTCGGTTCTGGTTTTGTCCACTGAACCGTCATGATTCGCATGAATTCTGAACTCGTCTATGTTGACTATAGCACCTGTTACGTTGCCCAAAATCCTAAAAAAGACTGTTGCTTCTTGTTCAAATAAATAATGGATTTCATACCCTCTAAACATTTCTATTCTGTTCCTCAATTCTGGCGGGTTTTGCCTCAACACAAATCTGACTCTTTGGTCTTCTCTTAACAAGTAAATAAACACCCTGGCCATATCTTGCAATCCTCCTGTATCATTGGCCAAAACCTTTAGTTTTGATTAGATTTACTGTTTAGAAAAAATACTATATTTACCATAAAGTCAAAATATCCCTTCATGCCGTATTGAGGGTCAAAGTTCAGCTGAACTGCTCCGGATTCCTTTTTTACTATAAACGGAGGTCTGTGGAGGTTTTCCAGGCCTTCTGTGGAAGTCATTTGAATTCGTCCGATGAGATAGTACGATATTTTTGCGTTTTTTCCCGTATCTGCATCTTCAGCCTTACAAATAATAAACAAAATAAAAAATTAAATAAAGACCAGGATTAACCCAGAACCCAGAGAGCCATATCAGGTTAAAACTTGGCCAAGAATTTCCCTTTCGCCTTTGGAAAAGTTTTTCCAATAAATGTTCAACATAGGACTTAATATTCCTATGATGGCCAACAATAAATGATCAAAAGCAGTTAGGTAGGTTACCGTTGGTTTAATTTTGGGAATGTTTGGGCATGGTAAAACGGTGACAATTTTTTGAAGTTTATTTGGGCAAATATTAGGCTTTTAAAAAACTGACCAATGGCATGACATTGGTAAATATTTGAACAAATCCAAAATATTTACAAATATTATAATTATATTTAAAAGAATATTACTAAAAAAGCTTTTTCTCATTAAAATCTATTAATTTTTTGGAGATATTAAAAATACAGGCACAGAAGATAATTGTATTTAAATTTTTTAATTATAATAAAAAAATTAAAATTTTCTTAAAAAATGTTATAATTAAAAAATATTTTAAATAATAAAAATTTTAAAAATATTGTTTTTTTTGAAGAATCCTAAAAAATTTTTTTTTTCAAGCGGCCATGATATACAACCTTATATGCCTGTATAGAGATAGTTGAAGTGCGTCTTTTTCATTTGCGGCAGACAAAAAACTCAAAAAAGCCTAGGGATAGAAGTAAATCCATAGGTGTCCCAATAGACGTCAAATAATAAAATTAATTTAGCATTTCATACAAAGCAATCACGATGTATTAATTATATTAATTATAATCGCACGGAATATTTAGGGATTATTTATTAAATTTTAATTGAACGAAATAAAGAACAACTAGTTTATTAGTATAATATTATGATGATAGACGAGTCGCCAATGTCGGAACTCCAAACAAATGTCAGTACGTCAAAATTAATTCAAGCGCAGCATTTTGACAGAGCAGGGTTTATTTTTAGTTTAGGCTTTGTTATCTATGGTTTAGGATATTTATCGGCATTGTAAGTAAGGGTTATAAGTTTTTTTAGTTTTTATCAATAATTTCTAATGCTTTTAGCCAAAATTTTATACCACATGAGTTATGAGTAGATAAAATAATTCTATTTCTTATCCTATTTATATTACGCCCTTGAAAAAAAAATTGTATATGTTATTTGGAGTAGAAGCTCTTTTTGTGCTTCGTACAGTTGCCAGCCTCAGCTACGCTTCGGCCGTCAATCTCTGCACTCACCACAAAAAGAGTCACTTCTACTCCTTATGACATAATCTACTATTTTATTTATTTTGTAAAATAAGGCTTTTCTTTGATTTCTGGCACGTTGCTTGGCGTTGTTCAAGGCCACATCAAAGGACCTCTGAAACTCCAGAAGGAGGAAATCTCTCGTGTTTATGTAAACTCTCTAGAAAAAATACCTTTATACGTGTTAATACATGCGACCAATAGAATTACGATAAGGCTTCTAAAATAAAAAAATAAATCAATATTAAAATTCAATGCAAAAATTACGATTACCTTGCTCACTTCAGGCACTATAGATATTTAAACCCAATAAATCCTATTTTTCCTCTGTGACATAGGTAAAAAAATTATTTTTAAATTGTCCCGCTTGTAGTAAAAGCCTTGTACGCATGCACACTATTTACAAATTTATATTACTTCAAAATTAACGATCTTTGAAAAGTAAGAAAATGTATAATAATTGAATTATTTTTTAAAAAACTTGAAAAATAACCTTAATTACTTACTCAAAATTTAAAGCCGTTTAAAACTTAACACACGTTGAGTTAGTGCACGGATGATTATATTTCCCACAAGCACTTTTTATCGCCTTTCTGTAGAGAAGGTCTTGAAATATTAATCTACTTTTTATGACCTATCAGTGGCGGCTGGTCAGGTACGGGCCATAAAAAATCAGGAAGAGAGGGATTTTAAATTTTTTCTAAAAAGCTTGTCGGATTTTATAGTTTGCAAGTTGAACTAAACGCCAACAAATATTATAATCTTTCAATAAATTTTTTTTTAACACGAATGTGGAAATTAAAACCACGAGAGTGATAAAAAATGACTTTAATGCCGAGGTGCCTATTAAATTTTATCCGAAACTCGCTATTGCGCATAGTAAACTGATTCTTTTTCCATTCCATTTTTTGCCAATTTTCGACCAAACTTCATTACAAACGAAGTTGGTCAAAAATAAGTCAACTTAAGTCTTTATTTTTATGCTGTTTTGTGCGTTGGGAAATGATTGGCATAAAATATGTAAATTTTTGGTCAAACTTAATGAAAATACAATTTATATGCCCAAATAAACCCCAATAAATGTACACCAAACTTAGTTGGGAAAAAGTTGACTAATTTCTTGCCCAAACCATGGTTCTCTGGGAAGCATTTCGTATTGAGAATATACCTTTACTTCCATGAAGTTGGTTCCGAAGGCAGTAGCCGTACTTACACCTCCCGTGAACACCCTGTGGACAAATTTCGGTGGATTATCGTTGACATCGATAACATTGACGAGTACTTTCAATTGGGTGTCATCCGTAGCATCAAAAAAGCTGTTCATTAGTGGCGCAGAGCTGCAATTCTCCGTAGCTTTAATTAGGAGCAGATGGGATTGTTGACGTTCTCTGTCCAGCCGCTTGGTAGTTGTCAAAACGTGCTTGTGTGGGTTCAGCGTGAACAGGTTGTTCTCGTTGCCCGCTATGATGTAGTAGCATATTGGGGTGGGCGGACCTTCGAACTCCAGCTCGTCCCTGTCGATTGTGTTTGGGAGTTTTTGGATTTCCGCGCCTGCCAATTTGTTTTCTAAAAAATAATGCATCTTACGTTTCTCAAATACCATATAGTCCTTTGTTTTGAGTGTGTTCCACTACACCAAGTTGCCCGACACTGATGAGACCCAATATAGGTCGAAACAGCTGTCTGTCGGTATTTGAAGTTGGAACGCACTCAAAACAAAAAACTTTGGCGAGGTGTAGGTTCATTTTTTTTCTTAAGTACAATATTACCTGTAAAATTAACCATGAATTCGTCCACCAAAAACTGCGGCCTATAATCATTAATATTGGTGATATATACTGTCAAGTCAAGATCTGAACTAAGCGGTGTGGGAACCCCCAAATCATACGCTTCAATTCTTATCTGAAAAAGTATTTCAAGTGAGTTGGGGGTGAATGTAATACCACATAGACATTCTTACAGTACGTCTTGAAACATCATAAGATGCAGACGCGCAAGCGATCGCTCTAAAGAGTAAGGAAGTAATACACGTAACAATAAATCGGTCACGGACCGTGACTCACGGTATAGTTAAGTTTGTTAGTCAATTTTAAGTGTATACAGTGCGCAACTATAGCCCGGGGCCACTATAGTGGTATACCTGTCCAGGTTAATCAAGATACCTGTCTCCTGATGTCTTACAGAATCAGCAAAGCGATAATACAGTAGTGCAGTGCAATACAACAACTGAAGAAGGTAAGAAATCAGTTACACAACCTGTAAAGGTGAACTCAATGTTCCAGTCTCTCGAAGGAACCAAAGAGAGGGACAAGTGGAGAGTAGCAGCAAAAGATAAGTTCAATAGCTTGATTTAAGTTGCATTCTCTAAGAAAGTAATTTGCATTTTCTCGAAGAGGTTAAGCATCTGAGTATGAGTATGGGTACGTATGGCAGGCCCCATCGACATTACCTTACACTAATCTCCCAGGGTCATTTTACCCCCTTTCCGTTCTCCTACGTATGTGTTTGTTGGATCCGAAGTTTTTACGCCGTCTGGTAGATCTACCCTAGGAGGTCGTGGATGACAGTGTCGATGATTAAGGCCACTCCCGGATTTTTGTCGCCATACGCCCAGTTTAGGCTGGTGGAGAGCGGGACAGGGAGGGTAAAAGTTAGTTTTTGGAGGACATTGAACTGACCCAAAACTAAGTACAATCCGGAATCCTCCTCAACCGGGGCTTTAGTAATAACCCCATTCAATTGGGATTCATGAATGGGGTTAGAAGTGTTAGTACGCTGCTAGAACCTGTCCTTGTTGGTGTATTTCTGAACGTCTCTTTCCGGTTCCTGGTAACCTCTATATAATTGTTTGCCCCCCTGTGAGATACTGAATTTTGTCTTCAGTACCGAAGTGTTGACGGCCACGAACCGCCATAATTGCCCTCTGTCTTGGTGGATATTCCTTATGCCGAGTGCCGACTACCGACCTTGTATATTCTTTATTTATTTTTATTGTTAAATTAGTGTTTATACCGTTTACATTTAATTTATATCTTTGCATTCTTACTTTTTTTCCAAATTTTATTTAAAAATATAAATATTAATATACAAAATAGATAAAGCCGGCCCTGAAGTGTACGTAATTGGAATACGGCCCTATGACAGGCATTGTCTATAGAGAGGGTCGCTCTTCTTATCTTCTGTGATGTTGTTGTTGTTAACTTTTTAGGCTTTTGTTTATTTTAAGCTTTGGAATCTTAGTTACTGCCTATATTTAAATGCATATACATAAAATATTATATATACCTATTACACACACAAAACTTATTTATAAGATCTAAATTTTGTGTCGTTCCTGCTTGATTTGGTTTATTTACTCTTACGGCTTTTTCTATTTGCTTAAGTTGTTTAGGGGTTGTCTACACTGAGAAAAATGAGGTTGTTAGTTTAACACTTAAAGAAATGTTATTCTTATTTTTAATTAAAAATTATGTTTTTCAAACAAATAAAAAGAAATCTTAAACAATCGGAGGTTTATACAAGAGTTCTTATATTAGAGATTTTTTATTAATTTACTGTCTGAACTGCATTAATTAAAATCTTTGTACATTTTTGTAGTAATAAAAATGTATATTCAAAAACTGTACGAGTTTAATGTAAAGACTGTAGGTATCATTTCGAGACTTTTCAATAAACAATTATGCGCATTCAGTTAATAATTAAAACTTGAAATAGTTTACTTTTCTCAGTGTATAGACCTGTGGTTTTCTGAAGCCAGATGAAATTTTTAGTAATAACGAAGCGAAGTTTGCGTATATAAGTATTTAACGATTAGTTTATAGATTAGAATCAAATTGGTACTGTTATTAGGTCATGCAAATAAGAAAATTACTTAGCTGGACTAATTAGACTTGAATTCTGTTTTCCTATCGCTAGCGGACAGTCCGTGTTCCTTGGCAATCGCCGATTGTGGTGACTATACAGGTAGTCAGGTGGTCTATGTGACCTAACCTGAATCAATCACTCTCTCACAAACTTTTACGACGTTATAGCGCTTTGTGACTTAACCGGTACCACCCGCACTTTTCAAACTTATTATTATTATTTTTTTCTATGTATTTAATTTTTATTTTTTGTTTTCCTTATTACTGATTTTGATTCACTTGCCTCCGATAACTTGCCGGATTATTAGATTCTTTTTATCGTTTACACTGCAGTGATATGCAATAGACGTTAACAGAAACAAAAAATCAAGTGCAGTCACCTATACATCAATAAACATGCCAACAAACCACTATTTTAATAAGTCTGTAATCTACTTCCTTCCTTTACAGATAATTTTCGTATAACTCGTTATAAACAAAAAAACTAATGTTTACTATCGGTAGTCACATTGTCGACTACCGAAAAAAATCTATCGATGGTTCTCGACCCTAGACTGAAGAAAAGGTTTCGCACAGTGGGGCAAACAATTGCAGACTGCAGCGCCCGAACTTTCATCACAGTAATTTTCAGCAGACACGGACGCAAACGAGCAGATAGTACTTCAAGACCATCAAAAATAGGTCCAAGCAGAAAACTAACCACCCACACCCCATTCATGAACCCCAATTGAATGGGGGGGGTATTACTAAATCCCTGGTTTAGGGGGATTCCGGATTGTACTTAGTTTTGGTTGAATCCAATGACCCCGAAAAACAAAATGTTTTCCCTTCTTGTCCCGCACTCCACTAGCCTAAATCGGGCGTATGGCTCTGCCCGGCGACAAAATTCGTTCTTGTACTCAAGTGAGTTGGGGGGGGGGGGGGGTGAATGTAATACCTTATTTTAAGCATGTTTGGGTGGCCAAAAATTGCTTTTTTAAACTTACATCATATATTTTTTGCCTTTTCCGATCTAACGGCAATCGGAGCTCCAATATACCCGACAGAGGTTGCAATTCAAACGTTTTCCAGTGACCTGCTGGGTCAGCTTTCAAACGGTACCGTATCGCCCCATTTAGACCCACGTCCTCGTCCATGGCTCTGACTTGAATGAGGGCACTTCCAACGGTCGCATTCTAAAAAATAAAGATATTTGGGTGGTTTTCAGTAACTTTTAAGATACCATGTCCCTGGGGTATTAAAACTAAAACCTTTATATTAGCCATCATTTTTATTTTCATTTTACTAGACATTATCGATTTATAATATTCGTATTTACGAAAAGTTCAATATCCTATGAATTTATTTTTTAATTTTGGTTTTAAAACGCCTGCTTCACATGACCGTCGTATGTCCCTCGAGCAAAATCCAATATTTGCGATCTTCTAAAAATTTAATTCAACTTTTAAGTAGCCAAAGAAAATGATATTGAACAAATGTTGGGTTTTTTGTGTTATAAAATTCTCTTAAATAGCCATTATTGTTAATATTAATGTTAATAATGGTTAATATAATGTTTAGGCTAACAATAATAACTAAACGTTGTCCCGACGTTTTCTTTGCTAGAAGGTAGGTACTGCATGTGAGAATTAAAATATTTTATTATTGCAAATGGCGACAGTTAATTGTGCAGTTCAGTTGGCGATATATTTACAGTTCCTGTCGTGTATTTTGATATAGAAAAGGTAAGTTGAAAGTATTTTCGTATTTTTTTATTAACATGACCGTCTATAACATAAATAGTTATAAATTGCTCGCTATGTTTTTTTGTCCTTTGTTTATCGGTGGAAACTCTAAACTAAAATTAACAACATGGGAATAAAAATGTGTGAAATCACATGAAAAAAAAGTATGCGACGGTCATGTTAAAAATTTGTTTATATTTTATTTAAAACCCTTCTAAGTTTTATTTTTATGCACTTAAAGGACTTTCTTCATCGTTCTGGCATATTTGACCAAGTTACCTGAAAGAAAAAAGTCAGTTGACAACGACGACTCACCTCTAGGATTGGGAAAATTTCACTTTTTGCTTGTACTTGAAATTTCACTTGAAATTTTCATGATATTAATGAAATTTATTAAAATTTCCTAAATTTCTGAAATTTCATGAAATTTATGAAATTTATTGAAACTTTCAATAAATTTCAATCACTTTAAGTGAAATATATTAATATTGAAATAAGCCCACTTGGGGACCATGGCAAATTGCCTTTCTTACCTCCTACCCCTCTGTGGGTCCCTGCACCAATAATATAAATAGTAAATACCTACCTGTTTACCACAAATTTCTTGAGATTTCCTTTTAAAATATTTTTAAAATTACTAAAACTAAACGAGATATATCACTTTTTGGTAAGCTAATGAGATTGTGCCACTTTCATTGTTTTATATTTATATAGATATATATTTATTATTTTTAAATATTTTACTGAAATTTTACGAAAATTGAAGAAACTTCATCAAAATTTTATGATCCAAAGGCATTTTTTATCCGTTTTCCGATGCAATTATAGCAAAAGTAAAAGTTTAAATTAATCATGACTTTTAAAAAATTTTAAAGTCTGATTTAATTTACAAATTAAATTGGCAACTGAATTAAATTATTTAAATTAATTTATGCATATAAGTAACAATAATTACTTATAGTGTATTCAAATCCAAGCCAAACTAAACAAAAACGCCCAGACGCTTGATAACTCGTTCTTATTGGTCGATTCGGAATCTGTTGTAAATTATTATTAAAGGTCCCAGGGGAGGCCGCATGTGAAATTTATGCGAAATTTTCAGTAAATTGCGAAACTTTCAATGAAATTTCTGAAACTTTCACAGGCAATGTTGAAATTTTCGGATTGAAAATTTCATTTGAAATTTTTAAAAATTTCACTTTTCCAACTACCTAAATGAAATATTTCAAGTTTGAAACTTTCAAAGTTGAAATTTTCGGATTGAAAATTTCATTTGAAATTTTTAAAAATTTCACTTTTCCAAATAAATGAAATACCTACTTCAAGTAAACTTTCAAAGTTGAAATTTTCATTTGAAAATTTCAACTGTCCCAACCGTACTCACCTCTGGTATCCTAAGAGTGGAATTATGTGGCGGACTGACGAAAACTGGCGGATGATCGTTGAAATCCGTGACGCAGATTCTTAAAGGCGCCTCCACCAAATGACTTGGGGTCCCCAGATCCTGGGCCCTAACCAACAGCGTGTAGTTGCCGTGTCTGCCTCTTAGAGAGTTTGTAGTGCGAATTTCCGCCGACCAATCCGAGATTTGTTCCAACGCGAACACATCGATTTGATTACCGTCTGATATATCTATAATGACCTGAAATATGATACGTGTCCTATCTGGAAAGCTTTTTTTTTTTGAAGAAGACCTACCTGGCCATTCGAAGTGTCTGAAGCGTCTGCATCAGAAGCATATATAACGGTAATGGGTTGTCCAGGTTCATGAAATTCTGTTATGTTTAAGCAATGCGAAGGTACGTTAAGTACTGGAAAATTGTCGTTTACATCCAAAATTGTTACACTAAAAGTTAAATATTAGATGAACGTTTCCAAATATGGAACAATAGTATATTACACTACAAGGGCAGAAAGTGTGAGATTCCTGCACTGCGCGCCATGATGCCCTAGGCTAGGCCCTACTATTTTTCTTACTACCTCGGCCGAAAATACAACCTGGCCGAAAATACGGGAAAAAATTAAATGTGTATATCGAAACATATTGATGCCTGCCCAAATTTTGAGGTTATATTAGTGTCGTAATCAGAGTTGCATATGTTGAGCACACGACTAAAAAATTTTTACTCCCGCTATTATAGAGTGTGCGCGTATAGCTTGACCAATGCAAGAAACGTAAACTTTCTGCCGTGGAATCGGGGACGAAACAACGTATTTTCAGTCGAGGTAGTAAGAAAAAGCATTTTTCTATATTACATATGAGTCAATCCATATGAAAACGCCGAAACTCGTTGCTCGACCATCTTGGATTTTGCTAAAATTTTATAGAAATATTCATTATGGTCCCAAAATCCACCCTTATTTAATTTTTGGCATGCGTCAAATCCGGCCTATTCGAAATAAAACTTTTTAAAAACGTCATTTTTATGCTTTAACAATTTAAGCTGTAATTTTTTTCTAATAAAGATATTTTAAATTTTAAGATGCCATTTTAAAGCTAAAAAATAGTAGTTTTTATAAGAAAATATAAATTCACTCAATCAATATTTCTAAATAATTACACGGTGCTGAAAAAACGTTTATTTTACTAATTTTTCGTGTTTTTTAAATGGGTCCCGTGTCTCGGCTGTTTAATATGAACAGCTAATTTTTTTCTTACCAAAGACAAAATAAAACTTACAATTGACCCGTTTGGTATACGGTTTCCAAAAAAAAATTTCTTGAAATTTTGCAATTCTAGAAAATCGCATTATTTAGGCCATTATATGAGGATGTTGACTTCCAAATAGAATTATAAAATGTACAGGATGATTTTTGTTTTGTTATTTTCATCTTTGAATCTTTTACAGTAGCTTTAAAAGTAGAAAAATATTAAAATATTAAAAAGTCGCATTATTTCATTTTATAAGTATGTTGACTTCAATATAGAAATATGAAATTAACAGGATATTTAGTCCTTACCTTGAAGTTTAAATGCCTATTTAACTTGTTTTGATATTTTCATCCATTTTGCTTTTACATGGGCTTTAAAAGGAGCAAACATATTGAAATTAAAAAACGATTATTGTTTAATTTTCCATTTTAAGAATGTGTTGCCTTCAAGATAGAAACATGAAACTTACAGGATATTTAGTCCTTACTATGATGTTTAAATGCCTGTTTGGCTTATGCATGCATATGCATATTTATGTAGGTACTTATATGCTTATAACTTATCCGATTTTTTAAAATTTTATTATATTTTTGCTGCTTTTAAAGCATGTGTACAACCTCAATAAAAAAGCAAAATGAGCTATACAAGCTTTTAAACTTGTGATAAGGACTAAATTTTCTGTAAGTTTTATATTTCTTTCTAAATTTTCCTTGTGTTATCTTTTTTTAAAGCCATGTAAAAGCAAAATGGATGAAAATATCAAAACAAGTCAAACAGGCATTTCATTTTCAAGGTAAGGACTAAATATCCTGTTAATGTCACATTCCTAAATTAAAGTCAACATACTTATATAATGGATGAAATAATGTGACTTTTTATTATTTCAATATATTTTTCCTTTTAAAGCTACTGTATAAGATGAAAATAACAAAACCAAACTACCAGGCATTTGAACATTAAGGTAGGGGTTAATTATCCTGTAAATTTTATAATTCCATTTGGAAGTCAACATCCTCATATAATGGCCTAAATAATGCGATTTTGTAGAATTTTAAAATTTCAAGCAATTTTTTTTTGGAAACCGTATGCCAAACGCGTCAATTGTAAGTTTTATTTTGTCTTTGGTATGTATATAAAAAAATTAGCTGTTTATATTAAATAGCATTTAAAAAACACGAAAAATTAGTAAAATACACGTTTTTTCAGCATCGTTTAATTATGTAGAAATATTATTGAGTGAAATTATGTTTTTTTATAATATTTTTATATAGTATTTTTTAGCTATAAAATGACATCTTAAAATTTAAAATATCTTTAACAGAAAAAAAATTACAGTTTAAATTATTAAAGCATAAAAATTACGTTTTTAAAAAGTTTAAATTCGATTAGGTCGGATTTGACACATGCGAAAAAATAAATAAGGGTGGGTTTTGTCCTTTGGGACCCTAATGAATATTTCTATAAATTTTGAGTAAAATCCTAGATGGTCGAGCAACAAGTTTCGGCGTTTTCATATGGATTGACTCATATGTCAAAAAAACAAAGTGGTGTTTCATATCTGGCCTCTTTCCGTCACTTACTTGATGTGTTTAAAGGAATTTCTGCTTTCTCCACTGTTAAAGCCGAACTGGTAATTGTCCCATGCCTCAATGACCAACAAATAGTTTCCCTTCTCCTCTCTGTCCAATTTATCAGCCACTCTTAACACCCCTGTGTCCGCATCCAAGACGAATTTTCCCTGAGAAGATATTCGATCGAGAAGGTAAGTAATTTTTCCGAACTCTCCAGAATCGGAATCTTTTGCTTTGATTACCGAAACCTCCGAACCTACCGGGGTGTCTTCCGGTACCATCAAAATTCTCGGTTCCGGTAGGAAGAACGGATTGTTGTCGTTTTCGTCCAAAATTTGAACGAACAAATCCACCCTGGACGATCTTGGTGGCACACCAGAATCTGTAGCTTTAACCTAGAAGCAGATTTTTAATAATTTTTTAATTTTCATGTAAAGTACACACCGTCAAATTTAACCAACTATAAATTTCGTGATCGATTTTAGTGGCCACCACAATGTGTCCAGTATTTTTGGCCAAGTAGAGCAGACTGGTTGTTTCAAAATTCCCTTCCAAAGTATATGTAATTGTTTTGTTTTTGTCCGAATCGTCTGCAATAACCGTTCCTATTGGTACTCCATTTTTGCTGTTTTCTGTAACGCTAAACTTGTAAAACGGCTGACGAAATTTCGGGTTGTTGTCATTTATGTCTTCTATAACGATGAGTATCCAAGCTGCAATTTATAAAACCACAATTAGATTCCAAAGAGTTGTAGAGATTTTAGTACCTGTATCAATTTGAGGACCAATATCGGAATTCTTGTCTTCAACTTTCAAACCAATTCTAAACGTCTCCACCGTTTCCCTATCCAAGGACTTTCCGACTGATATAACGCCCTTTTTTGGATCCATCGTGAAAACGTCACTGCAATTAAAATCTTCAGGTTTTAATAGGATGCCAATTTCATTTTTTGCCTCGCAAGACCTAGAATCGATTGTGTACTCTAGACGAGCGCTAGTATCAAGATCAGTGGCTTCCAGCTGAACAATGGGTGTCCCTACCTGAAAATATTGTTTTTATAAAGCGTTAGTTACCCTGTTGTAAATGACCGAATAATTCCTTATAGAAACCAATTGAAGTATTGGTTGGTATCAATAGGTTTGAATTGGACTGGGTTTAATTGGGAGCGATATAAAACAGAAATTGGTTTTTACTGGTATTTTCCGATTAGGATTCTACTTTTTTTTAGTGGTTTCGATTGGTTAAAGCTACCAATAGGTAATTTCCAATTGAATTCAATTGGGCATTCCCAGTGTAAGATTCTAGAAAGAAATCTGCTAATTATTCCCATTACTTTAAAATATAGAAAAGTCCAATTAGGATTCTACTGTTTTTTAGTGGCCACCGGTGCTTTTACAATAAATATTTTTGTACCTTATTTAAGCGATTTCCCCTAAATAGCTAATTTTGTGAACGTTGAAAAAGTTGGAATAATACGTGCTGCTTTTCTTATCATTGTTTTTTCGAGATCGTGGTTTTTCGTTGTTATGCAGCTAATTTAAAGTTGTTTTAGTTTGTGAAAGTGCATAATGGATTTAGAAAAAGAATTTAAAGCAGTGGAGAAACAATGTTTTGCGGATTGTGATGAAGATTACAAAGATCAAGGTGGATGTGCAGGTGTTAGTGACATAGAAGATGACGTTGTACAAGATTCGTCTTTTGATATGTCTCTTTAGGATATTGACGAAAATAAAAGATCAAAAAAAGCAATTCTTGATCTATTTATAACTTTTTTCGCGATTTTTATAATTCATGTTGAACTTTAAGGATGATTTACAGAAAAAGTTTCAAACTTAGGAGTCTGCGGTATGTTCCATTAAAAAATACGTTAAATTTATGCTATATGTATTTATTTTTGTTTTTATGGTCTGTTATTAAAGCTACAAGGTATAAATTCTATTTTTTATTTTTTTCTCATTTGCCTGAATATCAATTTTTGACACCTTTCACAGTCTATGGAAAAAGCTTGAGAAAGTTCTGGAAAACCTGGAAAAGTCAGGGAATTTTATACGAATTCAATAGTATGAACCCTGCATGAGTAATTTCCAATTGAATTTAATTGGGTATTCCCAGTGTGAAATTCTAAAAAGGAATCTGCTAATTGATTATTCCCAATACTTTAAAATATAGCAAGAGGGCTCTCGTGTAGCTGCGCAAAACCAACGTACGCAGTCCTTGTTCGAATGGTTGAGACGCCATCATAAAGAAACAAACAAGTCTTTGGACGCTATTTAATGTCGTTTTTTTATTAGTCGGTTTCTTTTATAATCTATGGGTTTCTGTACTTAGTGGTGGTTGTGTACTTATAGTGGTGTGTACCTATACCTTAAAAAAATGTTTATATGTGTAAGGTTTAGGGACGATGGCGTGAGAATGGTGGTTACAGTGAACAAAATAAAAAAAATTTGACATAAATAATATGTATTTCGACCATGCCTACAAACATCCTTTGCAAGAAAGACAAAAAAATTATTATAACCGAGTAATTTTATTTATTTTTTATTACTATTTTGTGTAAGTAACTTATAGGTCAATCGTGCAATTCATATCTCACTAACACAAAAAAATAATAAAGAAATAAAGTTACTCAGTTATAATAATTTTTTTGTTTCTTCTGTGAAAAATGAATTCTGGTTTTTACCCGGTTATTCTTCTGGGATCTTAATTATTTTTGAAATGAAAAATCAACTGGTATTTTAAATCCAAATTTAAAAAAATAAATTGGTTCAAATTGGTTTGAATGGGTTTGGCGCTATGAATTACCAATTCATTTCAGGTGCATTTCTATTGAATTTAGCCAACAGGGATTGGTATATTCCAATTTAAGCCGCTGACTTCATTGGAACTTACGAATAGGAATGCAACTAGAATATATTGGTGATTCATAGCGCCAAAACACATTTCAAACCAATTACTTATTTTTTATTGGATTCTATCGGTCATTTACAATAGTTTAGTAAGCTACTTAGTAAATAGTTACCGGTGTATTTTCTTTGATAACCACAGCTCCAGGATCCTTGAATTTCGGCGGTTTATTATTCACATCGGATATGGTTATGTTAACAGTGACACCAGCGTGCAACTGGTTTTGCCCTGCTGCCCCATCCAGGGCTACCACTTTTAAAGAGTAATACATTTTCTTTGGTTGGGTGAGGTCTGGATCCAAGGAGGCTCCTCTTGCGACTGCTATAACACCCGTCTCAGCATCGATCGTGAATTTATCCGACGCACCATTCTCAACTCTGTACACTATTTTGTTGTTCGGAAAAGAACCGTCGCGATCCGTTGCTTTAACTTTTAATATTGAGGTTCCTTCAGGCAAGTTTTCAGGGATTGTTTTGTTATAAAACATATATTCGAACATCGGTGTATGATCGTTTACGTCTTCAATGTACACCACTAGAGGTACTTCGGAAAAAAGGCTTGGTGTGCCTCTGTCACGAGCCCTAACCGTGAGGTATAAAGGACGCACGCTATCCTTTGGAGGGCCCTCCAAAAGCTCAAAATCAACGGGTCGTTTTGGTTTGACGGTGCCGGTAATAGAGTCTATGGTAAAATTGCTGTTCAACTCGCCAAACAAAAAATACTCCACATCACTATTCCTAGTACCGTTCAAATCACCATCTCTAGCCTCCACTTTGAGGGGCATCTCGAACTCCTTCTTGTTTTCTATTAATCTGGCCTCGTAGCGATGCTGAGTAAATACGGGAGCATTATCGTTTACGTCTTCGACGTTTATCACCAACTGGACAGTGTTGCGGTTTCCGTTCCCCAAATCGTCTCTAGCCTCGACTGTGAGGTAGTGCCTGGAAACCTGCTCTCTATCCCAGTTTGGCCCGCCTGCTGTTTTGATGGTTATTACTCCCGAAATCGGATGCAGATTCAACCTGGGTAAAAAATAATAAATTGTCATCCTTTGGGGGGATGATACTACCCTGGCGAAAATAAAGCGTGCATGAAAAGTGTGCAATAAGTGTGTATTTGGAGTGCAAGTCTTTATAACAATGTGCATACACGCTACTTTGTGGTAATTTCACACTTTTTGAAATAATTAAGTTTTTTCACTTTATCCACGTAAGGTGACCCATATACTTATCTCAGAAACTACTGGAATCACAAAAAATTTGTAAGGGAGAAATATTCACGTAGTAAAAAATATTTTTAAAATATTATATTTTCATTTATACAGGGTATTCGGTTTTTCGTGGGACGATACCAACTTTCTTATTTTCAATGGAACACCCTGTATTTTTTTGCATTTTTAGATTCTACACACTATTTTAGGTATACTTTGTAAATATACTAATTAGGAAAATGTTAATACTTTTTGAGTAAAATTAAAATTTATCAAAATTTCTCTAAATGTAGACATTCGCTAAAAGTTAAAAATAACCAACTAAAACTTATTATTTTTTATATTATGTAGTATTCATCTCTTTAATAATAACCAAGCTATAAGTTAAATCTTTTTTTTCTATAAAATATTATACAGGGTGTTTATAATGCTCCGTTGAAAATAGCGATTTTAAAGGTTTAAAATCTTGTTTTTTTTTCAATGGAACACCCTATATATTTTTACATAATTGGATAAAGTATGTAATTTCCTTTCTTTTTATATATATATGTCCTATATCTATTAGATATTATCTAAACCCAACAGAAAAAAAAATATTCGCATTTTTCACAATTAGTAGCTTTATGCGTATGGTAATTATTATTATAATAATATATATTTATATATAAGAACATTTTTATTTTAATTTATTTATTTAATAATGGAAATATAACTAAGGTAATTGGAAAATCCACAAAATTAATTTTCTACCTTATTGTTATTAATAAATTACCTTACTCTTTGGGAATACCATCAGGATTAAAATAGGCACGAGTGTATTCTTTTTGATGTGTATACTTCTACGATATTAAATGATTAAAATGAAAGCAGATTTAATCTGGAAAATAAATAAAACAAATTTCAAAAGTATAAACAATAAATGTTCAACATGATATATATATAATATCTCTAATCTTCTTGTAACTAGCTAACAATCGTAATTATTGAATTAAAGTAATAGCAGATTTACCTTTTATTTGTTTTTTAGTATTTCTTTATTACCTAAATTAAAGATTAATTTTTTCCGAATACACTCGTGCCTAGTTTAATCCTGAGGGTATTCCCAAAGAGAAAGTAAGGTAATTTATTAATAACAATAAGGTAGAAAATTATTTTTGTGGATTTTCTAATTAGATTGATTATATTTCCATTATTAAAATAAATAAATTAAAATAACAACAAATAAAAATGCTCTTATATATAAATATATATTATTATAATAATAATTACCATACGCACAAAGCTACTAATTGCGAAAAATGCGAATATTTTTTTTTCTGTTGGGTTTAGGTATAGGACATATATATATAAAAAGAAAGAAAATTACATATTTTATTCAATTATGTAAAAATAAATAGGGTGTTCCATTAAAAAAAAACAAGATTTTGAACTTTTAAAATCGCTATTTTCAACGGAGCATAGAAAACACCCTGTATAATATTTTATAAAAAAAAAGATCTAACTTATAGCTTGGTCATTATTAAAGAGATGAATACTACATAATATAAAAAATAATAAGTTTTAGTTGGTTATTTTAAACTTTTAGCGAATGTCTACATTTAGAGAAATTTTGATAAATTTTAATTTTACTCAAAAAGTATTAACATTTTCCTAATTAATATATTTACAAAGTATACCTAAAATAGTGTGTAGAATCTAAAAATGCAAAAACATACAGGGTGTTCCATTGAAAATAAGAAAGTTGGTATCGTCCCACGGAAAACCGAACACCCTGTATTAATGAAATTATAATATTTTAAAAATATTTTTTACTACGTGAATATTTCTTCCTTGCAAATTTTTTGTGACTCCAGTAGTTTCTGAGATAAGTATATGGGTCACCTTACGTGGACCACCCTGTACATTGACATCACGCTTTTTATTTGTCATTTGTCCCGCTTATATTACATTATATTATAGCACATTGTTAGTACATTGTTTAAAGACATTTTGCAAAGCTTCAGTCTATCTTACGCATGTCACATTTTATACACACTGTTAGCACACTTTAATATTTCTCATTTATGGCGCTTATATTACACCTTTTTATAGCACATTGTTTGTACAGTTTTAGCGATCACTCAACAGTTTAAGCACATTTTAGATATATCTCGCTTGAGTTGGGGTACAACATTTATTAAAAAGGTGAGGTAGATTCAATCTTATGTATCGATTCTCGGCCTATTGCTAAGATCAAAGCAACCCCTTCGTGGAGTTGACAGTGCAGGTATTTTTCTTAATAAAATACAGTATGTAGGAGGACCTACATTGTGGGTATTTTTTTTTAATTTTTTTGAAATTTAAAAGACTTTATAGGTCTCCAAAAAGAATCTGTTTTTGTAATAGGCACACAGGTGGCAAGAAACAGTGTGCAAACAATGTGAAAAATCAAAAGGAGTTCCCTTTAGAACATTGTCCAGTGATTATTCACTTTTAAATTTTTGGTTTTGCACATTGTTTCATGTTCCATTTCCCACCCTCCGTACATCATTTTTTTTTAAAGATTGCACATTGTTGGCACATTGTTCTCAATAATTTTGCACACTTTTTGCACATTTTATTTTCGACAGGGTACACGCCAAAACAAGATAATTTTTCCTCTCATTTTTGCATTAGAGCTACTGTTTATTAAAAAAATATATGAATGAAAAACTAAACTATCCCATATCGATGGTTATTTGACAAAACATCGTAAGCGACCAAACCTAAATTTTACAGGAGAGGTTTTTTTGTGTGGGAGCTTTATTTTTAAAGTTATTTATCTGAAAACTGGTGAGGCATTATTTTATTAATGCAGAATTCAAATATTTAAGTAAGATCGAATCCAATCTAAAATTTTCATTAAATTTTGTGGCATACGATATTTTATATTAGGGAAATGTAAAATTAAGCTTAAGTTACATTTACGTTACTTTGTGGGATATAGATTTGATGATTACTTTTGTCAAGACATCGTTAGCGACATTTATTTTTTTACTTTTATTAGTAAATAAAAAAAATTATTTATAAAATATCACCAACGATATTTTGCCAAACAATATTTGAAAATGAAATTCTACATTAGCTTTCTTTGAAAAAAACGAACGATTTTTATTTACAAACCAGTATTTAACCCATGGAGCCTACACAAGGAGGATATATATTTATATATATTTATTATTTTTATATATTTTACTGAAATTTTACAAAAATTGAAGAAACTTCATCAAAATTTTATGAGCCAAAGGCATTTTTTATCTGTTTTCCGATACAATTATAGCAAAAGTAAAAGTTTAAATTAATCATGACTTTTAAAAAAATTTTAAAGTCTGATTTAATTTACAAATTAAATTGGTAACTGAATTAAATTATTTAAATTAATTTATGCATATAAGTAACAATAATAATTATTACTCATAGTGAATTCAAATCCAAGCCTAACTAAACAAAAACGTCCAGACGCTTATTGGCCGATTCGGAATCTGTTGTAAATTATTATTAAAGGTCCCAGGGGAGGCCGCATGTGAAATTTATGCGAAATTTTTAGTAAATTGCGAAACTTTCAATGAAAAAATTTCACTTTTCCAACTAAATGAAATATTTCAAGTTTGAAACTTTCAAAGTTAAAATTTTCATTTGAAAATTTCAACTGTTCCAACCCTATATGGAACAACAGCGCCCTCTTATATTAGGAAGATTCTTGTTTCTTGTCCATGATCTAACCGTTATAAATTTGAGTCAAATTATTTGATGCTAGAACAACATACAATTACTACAAGAAACACTTTTAACCAACCACACTACTTAAACACAATTATAATTATCCTAGGAATTATAAGCTTTTGATCAAATAAAATATTGTTTTAAAACTTGGTATATCGCTATAGCGATCACCACGATGCAGGTATACTCACGAATAAACTGTTTAGAGCGGGAATAACGCCTTGATTGATAAAGGCGGGAGCAAATTATTATCGTAAGCCATGATACAATGTATCATGTATCATGATCGTAAGCTACATAATGTTAAATCGCAAACGCCATGTCTCGGAGTTGCTTACGATTATTTGTCGGGAACATATAGGCGCTTACGTTATAAATCGGTAACAAATTAAAAAGAAGAAGCGCTTACAATAATAAAAATATTCAAACTGACCAATAT